GGATGGGGCTCAAATTCAATGTGACTGGGGTCCTTATAAGAACTGGAAGAGAGGCCAGGGATGCAGCACACCGAGAAAAGGCTAGGTGAGGACACAGAGAGAAGGTGGTGGTCTGCAGGCCAAGGAGAGAGGCCTTAGGGGACATCAAATCCACCAACAGCTTGATCTTAGACTTCCAGCTTCCAGAACTAGAAGAAAAATTTCTGTTGTTTAAGCCACCAAGTCTGTGTTATTTTGTTATGGCATATCTTAGCAGACTAGTATATATATTTTGGATGAAGTTATCATGGGCACGACAAATGGTATTTAATGTTATTTACAATGTAAATGTTAAAAAAATCAAACAAGAGTATTCCCATTCACTGTCCACCTCCACTTCCCCAAGCATCCACATTTTTATTCGCTGGGAGAATGACAGGACCCAGAGGCAAAACTCAAGTTTAAATCATAAAATAAAGATACTGAACTTTTGGAGAATCAGATACCTACCTTATTCTCAATTAAATGTAAAACTAAGCAAAATAAATGAATAAATAAAAATAATTAGATACTTCCTTGAAATTCCAAGTGAAGGAAACACAAAAAAGCTTCCAACAAACAACAGATCGTAAGTGAATAAAAATTAAACAGCATCAATTTACGGGCCACAAATGCTACCACTAGTTTCATTTAGTGCAGTGGCTCCGAAACTTTTAGTAAACATCAAAATCATCTGAAGGACTTGTTATAACACAGGGTACATGAAGAGTTTCTGAACTGGCAGCTCTGAGGCGGGACTCAAAAATTTTCAATTCTAACATGTTCCCAAGCTGCTGAAGCTGCCCACTGATCTGAAGAACAGACATTGAGTACTACTACTTTAGTGTATGGTCGCTGTTGTATCGTAATGGATGTGAAACGTATTAGAGGGGTCCCTACAAGTTCATTTATGCATACTGGTCTCCTGAGATATCTGAAGTTCTATCTACATGAATTCTACCCTGAATTATTGCAAAATGTAACTTTTTGGGGGTAGGAAGGAGTACCACAGTAACCAAAATGAGAGTCATTTAAATCAAAATGAGATCTGCTATGGACAACAGTTCTATGAAGTTTCAATTCTGAAGTTATTAGCTGTAAGTTATATTTAACATGGTAAATTATATAAAGAAATTTCATATACAACTTACCAGCATCTCTGGGACACAGCTAAAGCAGTGTTAAGAGGGAAATTTATAGCACTAAATGACCATATCAAAAAGCTGTAAAGATCTCAACAACCTAACATCCCAACTAAAATAACTAAAAAACCAAGGGCAAACAAACCCCAAAGCTAGCAGAAGACAAGAAATAACCAATATCAGAGCTGAACTGAAGATAGAGACACACACACACAAAAACCCTTCAAAAAAATCAAACAATCCAGGAGCTTTTTTTTTTTTTTTTTTGAGATGGAGTCTCGCTCTGTTACCCAGGCTAGAGTGCAGTGGTGTGATCTCGGCTAACTGCAAGCTCCACCTCCCAGGTTCACGCCATTCTCCTGCCTCAGCTTCCCGAGTAGCTGAGACTACAGGCGCCTGCCACTATGCCCGGCTTTTTTTTTCCTTTTTGTATTTTAAGTAGAGACAGGGTTTCACCATGTTAGCCAGGATGGTCTCAATCTCCTGACCTCGTGATCTACCCGCCTCGGCCTCCCAAAGTGCTGGGACTACAGGCATGAGCCACTGTGCCTGGCCAGAAGCTAATTTTTTGAAAAAATTAGTAAAACATGAGACCACTAGACTAATGAAGAAAAAAGATTCAAATAAACACAATCAGAAATAAGTGGGATGTTACCACTGACCCAACAGAAAAACAAACTACCATCAGGTAATATTATGAACACCTCTATTCACATAAACTAGAAAATCTAAAGAAACGCATACATTCCTGGACACATACACCCTCCCAAGGCTGAACCAGGAAGAAATTGAATCCCTGAACAGACCAATAATGGGCTCTGAAACTGAGGCAGTAATAATAGCCTACCAACCAAGGAAAGTTCAAGACCAGGTGGATTCACAGATAATTCCACCAGAGGTACAAAGAAGAGTTCGTTGCTATCATTGCTCCTGAAACGATTTCAAAATTTTGAAAAAGAGGGACTCCTCCCTAACTCATTCTATGAGGGCAGCATCGGCCTGATACCAAATCCTAGCAGACATACAACAACAAAAAAAACTTCAGGCCAATATCCCCGATGAACATCAATGCAAAAATCCTAAACAAAATACTGGCAAACTGAATACAGCAGCACATCAAAAAGCTTATCCACCACGATCAAGTAGGCTTCATTCCTGGGATGCAAAGTTGGTTCAACATACAAAAAGCAAAATAAATGAGATTCATCACATAAACAGAACTACAGACAAAAACCACATGATTACCTCAACAGATGGTAACCACATGATTACCTCAATAGAATAGCCTTCATGATTACCTCAATAGAATAGCCTTCGATAAAATTCAACATCACTTCATGTTAAAAATTCTCAATAAAGTAGGTATTAAATGAACATATTACAAAATAATAAGAGCCACCTATGACAAGCCCTCAGCCAACATCACAGTGAATGGGCAAAAGCTGAAAGCATTCCCCTTGAAAACCTGTGAAAGACAAGGTTGCCCTCTCTCATCACTCCTACTCATCATAGTATTGGAAGTTCTGGCGAGAGCAACCAGGTGAGAGAAAGAAATAAAGGTATTCAAATAGGAAGAGAGAAATCAAACTATCTTTGTTTGCCGATGACATGATCCTATATCTAGAAAATCCCATCATCTCAGCCCAAAAGCTCAGGCTGATAAGCAACTTCAGCGAAGTCTCAGGACACAAAATCAATGTGCAAAAAGTGCTAGCATTCCTATACACCAAAAACAGGCAAGCCAAGAACCAAATCACAAATGAACTCCCATTCGCAACTGCTACAAAAAGAATAAAGTACCTAGGAATACGGCTAATAACGGACGAGAGGAGCTCCTCAAGAACTACAAACCACTGCTCAAGGAAATCAGAGAGGACACAAACAAATGGAAAAAAATTTCAAGCTCATGGATAGGAAGAATCAATATCGTAGAAATGTCCATACTGCCCAAAGCAATTTATAGATTCAGGGCTATTCCCATTAAACTACCATTAACATTATTCACAGAATTAGAAAAAAAACTGTTTTAAAATTCATATGGAACAAAACGAAACAAAAAAGCCAAACCTGAATAGCCAAGGCAATCCTAAGCAAAATGAACAAAGCTGGAGGCATCACACTATCCAATTTCAACTATAGTACAAGGCAACAGTAACCAAAACAGCACAGTGCTGTTACAAGAACAGACACACAGAGACCAATGGAACAGAATAGAGAACTCAGGAATAAGACCACGCACCTACCTATAGCCATCTGATCTTCTACAAACCTGACCAAAAAAAAAAAAAAAAAAAAAAAAAAAATATATCCCATTTAATAAAAGGTGCTAGGAGAACTGACTAGCCATGTGCAGAAAATTGAAACTGGACATCTTCCTTACACCATATACAAAACTCAACTCAAGATGGATTAAAGACTTAAATGTAAAACTCAAAACTATAAAAACTCTAGACGAAAACCTAGGCAATACCATTCAGGACATAGGAATGGACAAAGATTGCATGACGAAGATGTCAAAAGCAATTGCAACAAAAGCAAAAACTGACAAATGGGATCTGATTAAACTAAAGAACTTCTGCATAGCAAAACAAAATATCAACAGAGTAAAAAGACAACCTACAGAATGGGAGAAAACTTTTACAATCTGTGCACATGACAAAGGTCTCATATCCAGCATCTATAAGGAACCTACCATATTGACAAGAAAAAAAAACCATTAAAAAGTGGGTAAAGGACATGAACAGACACTTCTCAAAAGAAGACATCCATGAGGCCTACACATGAAAAAAGCTCAGTATCACTGATCATTAGAGAAATGCAAATAAAAACCACAATGAGACACCACCTCACACCAGTCAGAAAGACTATTATTAAAAAGTCATAAAAACAACAGATGGTAGTGAGGTTGCGGAGAAAAAGGAACACTTTTACACTGTTGGTGGAAGTGTAAATCAGTTCAACCACTGTGAAAGACCCAAAGACAGAAATACCATTTGAGCCAGCAAACCCGTAACTGGATATTACATAAAAGGAATGTAAACTGTTTTCTTATAAAAATGTGCACATGGATGTTCACTGCAGCACTATTCACAATCGCAAAGGCATGGAATCTAACTTAAATGCCCGTCAGTGATGGACTGGATAAAGAAAACGTACACCATGGAATACTATGCAGTCACAAAAAGGAATGAGATCACGTCCTTTGCAGGGACACAGATGAAGCTGGAGGCGATTATCCTGAGCAAACTAACATAGGAACAGAAAACCAAATACTGCATGTTCTAAGTGGGAGCTAAGTGATAAGAACATATTGGACTCAATGGTGGAAGGAACACCACACACTGGTGTCTGGCAGAGGGTGGGGGCTGGGAGGAGAAAGAGGATCAGTTAGAATAGCTAGTGGATGCTGGGGTTAATACCTGGGTGATGGGATGATCTGTGCAGCAAATCACCATGACACATTTACCTATGCAAGAAACCTGCATATCCTGCACATGTAACCCTGAACTTAAAAGCTGGATATTAAAAAAAAAAAAAAAGGAAGAAATTTCAGTGATCTAAATCTTACAATTAGATTAAAAACCAATATTAAAATACGTTGTTTCTGTAGGTCTTGAAAAAGGTCACTGCTTTAAATAAGTTATTTCAAATTCACTACTAGGAATAAATAATCTGGTTTTTAAGTATATAGTAAATACAATTATAATACTTACCTTCAGCACAAGAGTGACATGATTCTCTGAATGTGCCTTTGAAGGAATAATTTCCATGTAGTGTTTGAGCACTTTGTGTCTCAGCAGTCAATTATACACACAAACACAAACAACTTTACCACCGTGGTAGAATGTCATAAAATATTAAGGATACTTTACAAAAGCTGTGATGACACATATGAAGTTTCTAAACTTTTAACAGGACTGGAAAACCAATGCAGAATTCTGCTCAGTAGACAACTTAAAATCTAAACCCAAACATATTTTGATAGATACAATATGCAAAATCTAACTTCACAACAGAAACAGTAATAATTCCTTGTCATTAATACCTTGCTAGCACATTGGTACCTTTACAAACAGTATCATATAATAGCATAATATTTCATCTTACTCCTCCATCCAGGATCTTTTGTGAGAGGCACTTAGAAACAACACTAGTTTTGGCGACGCTGTATCAAACATACACATAGTATAATGGTCTATTTTACTGTGCTCACAAAACATCATTTATAAAGAAATCTTTATGAATTCAAAAATAGGTTGTTAGTAACATGATTACCTTTAAAGTATGGATTTTGATTTTCATTCACAATATTAATTCATTAACAGTAGTTTCATCTACAAAATGTTCTATAGCTTTTTCCTTTTTGAAAAGGAATAAAGGCAGTTAAGATACTCATAACTTCTAGTTAAACAACATCAACTTTGTTTCACAGTATTAATTAGCAGAGAACATTTTCAATTAAAGTGATACACAATTTACAAAAATAGAATGATTTATATATTGCAAAACATTGTCCTCCATTATGAAGAATATATATATATATACATGTGTGTATGTGTATATATGTGTATATATAAATATTTCTTTTAAGTTTTACAAAAGCCCTTATTCAAGTACTTTGGGATTCTCTTGAAATAATCACCTTGCTATGTATTTTAAATACATTTAAAAAGTAAAATTAATCTAAGAAAAGGTTAAAAGTTTCAGTGTAGTTTGACTTAAAAAAAAAATCAACCACTTGCTTGAGTAAAAACCCTGACCGAATTCAAAACAAGCTCAGGTGCCATACTAAGTTTAAGAATTTTGTAAAAAATATAGATAAATTTAAGTGTCAAATACTTAAACATTTTCCAATTTGCTACCATTAGAGCAGAATCAAAAGACTGTATTAATCTATTAATTATCCAATCTTAATCCCCAGACAAAATTCATGTATATATTATTACTAATACACTAATATACAATATACCTGCTTACAAACACATAGGTAGCCATAAATAAAACTTTATTCTTTATTTCATTTACAAGCTACCAAATATTATGTATCGTACACAGTGCTGAACACTTAAATGGCTGTAGTCATGGAAGGATCCAGACTGAATGGAAAGCTGTTGAGAAAGAAAAGATAAAAGCAAAGTAATACTGTAACAGGAAGGTGGCAAAAGCATAGTTTTGCCATAATAAAATCAATTAGATCTGTGATTATACATCAGTTCCGGTTAAAACAAAGTCTGAGCTCCATGCGATTCTCAGCTTTATTGTTTGCAGTCTGACTAAAGTCTGTATAGTCATTTTGTCTTTTGCAGTCATTAAAATAAAAAAAGTTAAAAACTATAGCAGCAACAAGCAAACCCTGTGACAGGAAGGCAAGGGTTAAGAACTAAAAAGAGTTTATACAGTGTGTTTAGGGAAAGTGTGCAGTTTATCTTCCATCAGCAGGAGTTCGACTGAGGGACAACATGATTCGGGCAAATCGCTCACAGAGTTCATGCGTGGAATACGAAGGTAACTTCGGTGGCTCATGGAAACTTTTAATCTCCATAGAACAATCAAGCAGTTTTGGCAAAAAATCTGTCAGCTTTTCTTGGAGGTGTGCTGCAAATACAAACAATTAAATCTAACTAAAGATAGAAATTATGACATGATCATTGTCAACATGATTTACTAATATTAACTTGCCGTGATAGGTAAGATAATTGCCATTTTGGGGAGACAAAAACAAATGGCAACTGCAATGCACCCAGCTTAGCTCATCAATATGGAAAAAGAGTAATGTGAATGTGAAATTATTAAATATAATACTTAATATTATATTTAATATAAAAAATGGCAAGAAAAAATAACATCTAATTCTAACTGCGTTTAATCCCGACATCTCAGGTGCCTACTACCATTGTTTAAACTTACGTTCCATTTCTTGACCGAGGTAGGAACACCATCGATTTCTCATATCTTCTACAGCTAGTATATCCTTCTCTTCCATTTCATCCACCAGTAATAATGGCAAAAATGGGACAATAAACTCATTCATGATAATCAGACCATTGTTTACTTCTCGATCCTCTCCAGATTCGAAGAGTTCTGCGGCTTGCTCATTTAATTTCTTAATGCAATGCAAAAAAAAGAATAGGTTTTTGTTTCCTTTTTAAATTAAATATCTGTAAGTATTAATAAGGAAGACAACATAAATATGTTCACAAACAGTATTAGAACAAACGGTATTTAGAGAAAACAATCTCAACCTATCTAGAACTGAAAACCTCTCTTTAGAAAACGCTATGTATATGACAACAGAAGAAACAAAAGCAAACGGTGGTGGATGGAACATTACTGTGTTTTTCACTATTGTTTGGCTTATGTTGATCATCAATACAGGTGACATTTTTTCTTCTCTAGAGATTAACTTCCCCCAATTATAAAATTTTATAAGCACTCGTAATAGTTTTAAAAATAAAGAAATTCAGAATCCATATTAATTTTTGAAAAACTCATCTCCATAAATGGCAACTGAATATATACTATTGTATTCCTTGATACAGAAATATAAAGGTAATCAATTCACTTATCCCTTCAAAAACTTCCTACAGAGTAAACACCATGTGCCAGAAATTTTTCCAGATGCAGGGGCATTCAAGTGATTAATACAGAAAACTCTCATGGAGCTTACAATTTGGGAAGAGGACTGACAAACTTTTTCTGTGAAGGTCCAGACAAGGCCTACTTCAGGCTTTGAAGGCCACAAAGTTTCTGTTGCAACTATTCAACTCTGCTTGTAGTACAAAGGCAATAATACATAATATATAAATGAATGTGCATGGCTATGTTTCAATCAAACTTATCTATAAAAACAAGTGGTAGGTGGAGCACAAGCCATAGTGTGCTGATCACTGATCTAGTAGAACAGAGAAATCCATGTAATAAGAAACGTAAGAGATAAATACAGGTATAAGACCTATAATATTTAAGGGTTCTTATTTAAAATCTTATGTTTACAGCATGATAAATGTGACTTTGAAAGTTGAATTTCAAATAAAAATATTTACATATTTACACCGTAATTCTTGTGCAATTTATTTTGATTTTGGAAAGACCCTTGCGCTGTAAGTCCAACTTGGCCATGAATCAATTATCCAATTGATACAGTTAGGCTTTGTGTCTCCTCCCAAATCTTATCTTGAATTGTAATCCCCAGATGTTGAGGAAGAGACCTGGTGGGAGGTGATCAGATCATAGGGGCAGTTTCCCCGATGTCGTTCTTGTGACAGGAAGTGAGTCTCGAGATCGGATGGTTTTATAAGCATCTGGCATTTCCCCTGCTTGCACTTCTCTCTCCTGCCACCATGTGATGAAGGTCCTTGCTTCCCTTCACCTTCTGCCATCATTTTACGTTTCCAGAGACCTCCCCAACCATATGGAACTGTGAGTCAATTAAACCTCTTTCCTTTATAAATTACCCAGTCTTGTGTAGTATCTTTATAGCACTTTGAGAACGGACTAATACACCAATCGTGAACAGATTAGCTAAATCTCGTAGCTTCACTTTCTTTACATTAATAATAGGGCATTATTATCTTCCTACCATAGGGGTTAAGAGAATAAAATGAGATAAATCTTCAAGTATTTACTACAATTTTTGGAAGTATGCATTAAAGGAGATATGAAATTTAATGACAAGTTTAATGTTAAGTTCACTGAATCAAACAATGTCTTGGAAATCTCTTAAATATAACATGTTCAAAGCCAACCTTGTTCCTCCTATTAGATTCCCTAATATTAAATGAAAAACTAGAAAGTTTGGCAGCTTTGACTCTTCCATTTCCTTCTTTCCACTCACCCAACAGCTATGACACGCCCTGATTTCATTTCCTTCACCATCATACCTACTGTACTACATGAGTCGAGGCCCTCACTCTCCATCCCTTGACTTTCCCCTCTAAGGTTCTTGACTTCAATCTACTTCGTTCCTGTTCATCCTCTAGTATGCTATTATTATTACCAGAATTATCTTCTGAAAACAAACCTCATCATGCCAAACCTAATCAAACTTACACTGGTGCAAACTCATCTGAATGTCATATAAGTTTCTTTATCATCTGACCAATATCGACAAGTATTGTCAGCTTCATCACTTCCACCTTACCCCACTTCCTCATAACCTGGATAGCCACAATGAATTTATCTTTATTTTCTGTTGTGCACTGGAATATTCTCCCTTCTCTATCATGAATAAAACTCCTATTTATCCATCAAGATCCAGATGAGATCTTAAGAACCTTCTCTCTTAAGGTTCTTCCCAAATATTTCAGGCATATCACTGTGCATAGTTCTCATAATGACACTTATTCCAGAACATAACAATTATTTCTGTATTTCTCCTATCAGACTGAGTTTTCTGAGGACGGGAAGTACATCTTACTCATATTTGTATCCCTCAGAACCTAACACTTTGTAAATATATAATATGAAAAAACCTGAAAGGAACACTAAAGTAATCTTGATGAGGTTTCATTTAAATTCCTATGTAAAACAAACAACCAAATGTGGTTAGGTTACTATCAAAAAATGATGAGAAACATCATATCATTTTTTGAATGTTTCAGAGGAACCATCAGGTTTTGGTAGTATTTATGTTTAAAATCAGCTATACTATTCTTATATCTCAAAATTCAATTTTTTTAAGTTAAACAGAAATTACTCTGATACATTCTATGCATATTCTTGTTTTTTTGAGATGGAGTCTCACTCTGTCACCAGGCTGAAGTGCAGTGGCGCGATCTCGGCTCACTGTAACCTCCACTTCCTGGGTTCAAGTGATTCCCCTGCCTCAGCCTCCTGAGTAGCTGGGACTACAGGCGTGCACCACCACGCCCGGCTAATTTTTGTGTGTATTTTAGTAGAGACGGGTTTTCACCAAGTTGGCCAGGATGGTCTCGTTCTCCTGACCTAGTGATTCACCAGCCTCAGCCTCCCAAAGTGCTGGGATTACAGGCGTGAGCCACCGCACCCAGACTGCATATTCTTATAGACTTACATAAAACTTTTTTTTAAGACTTACCTATGCATCCCTTCCTCTCCCACCAAAAAAAGGAGTGGTAGTGTGATAAAGAAATCTAAATACAGAAATGTAAACAAACTGATGCTATTTTAAGAACATTTCTCATTTATCACCTATAGTACTTGGGATTCATAAAGAGAAAAGAATAAAGAACTGAGTGCACTTTGCCATCTGAAGGGACTAGAACCAGTTTATAGACACCATCATGTTCTTATCCCATCAGAGTTTATGTAGTCATCAGTTATATGTGAGTCTGGAAAACTTGCCCAATGTCAGACAAAATGGTAAGATCATACTATATGCATTCAACTTACTAGTAAACATTCTCTCCTATAATGTGATATCAATTCTTCATCATGTCCTCTGTATAAGCCTTTAGACAGGAGTTCTTTGTTATTCTGATAAGCACAGATGAGGAACAGCAAGGAATCTATATAACTTGAAAATTAAAAAGAAACATATAACATTAGTATTTCACCTTTGTAGAAACAAAGTCAGCCACAATTATAAAACATTTTAAGTATATGCTTAAGTTTTGATAATCTACATTATAATAAAAAATATCATCGGATGCAGTGTATGCTTAGGAGCACCTTTTTAGCAACAGTATCATCTGAAACCCGGAGACAGTTATATCTTAAAAGTAAAAAATAAAATAGAAGCAACAAATTAAGAAAAAATCTGGGAAAAGAGGTAATAACGGATAAATTCGGATAGTTCTGTCTTCCTTGGTATTTATTTTCCAATGTCTTCCATTTGAACTCAGAATTGAAGCTAATGTGAAACCAACAACCTGCTTGTTGAACGCAGTGTCCCACATGCATGAAGGAAAAACTAAGGTTACTCCGTTTTATGATCACAAACATCATTTGGTTTGTTCAACGACAACGTAGGTTCTTTTCTATGTGCAGACACTTTTAGTTATTGGGAAAAATGTAAAAAAACAGAAATAAGAAGATCTAAAGGAAAGAGAGGAAGCGGAAAATGAAAGATTTCTTCTAAATCTGGGAAACCTAGTGGAATAAAGCAAAAACAAAAAGTCCCCAAACATAAAAAAGCTGATAGAAGCCGGGCGTGGCAGCTCACGCCTGTAATCTCAGAACTTCGGGAGGGCGAGGCAGGCAGATCACCTGAGATCAGGAGTTTGAGACCAGTCTGACCAACATGGAGAAACCCCACCTCTACTAAAAATACAAAATTAGCCGGGCATGGTGGCGCATGCCTGTAGTCCCAGCCACTCGGGAGGCTGAGGCAGGAGAATCCCGGGAGGTGGAGGTTGAGGTGAGCTGAGATCACGCCAGTGCACTCCAGCGTAGGCAACAAGTGCAAAACTCCGTCTCAAAAAAAAAAAAAAGTGATAGAATTAGGCGTATGTGTTAATATTAATATAAGTCTAGATATTATGAAGTTCAAATCAGATTTTAAAAAAGGAAGAAAAGGGATGGGGCACGGTGGCTCATGCCTGTAATCCCAACACTTTGGAAGGTGGTGGTGAGAGGATCAGTTGAGGCCAGGAGTTTAAGACCTGCCTGGCCAACAGAGTGAGACCACCATCTCTACAAAAACATTAAAAAAAAAAAAATTAGCTGGTTCTTGAAATCATAGATTTCACTTCACTATTCTCAGGACTCACAAGGGTCCATCAGTAAGTACTTCATTCAAGGCTTTAAATGTTTACATTTTCATTAGAAACAATTTTGACAGAACCTTTTGGCAAGATTTTATACACAGCCAGCAACAATAACTGCTATATTTACAGTAAAAACAAAAAATTCTTTTTTTTTTTTTGAGATGGTGTCTCGTTCTGTCACCCAGGCTGGACTGCACTGGTGTGATCTTGGCTCACTGCAGCCTCCACCGCCCAGGTTCAAGTGATTCTCCTGCCTCAGCCTCCTGAGTAGCTGGGATTACAGTCGCACACACCAATATTTCTTTAAAAGATATTCCATAAGTAGTATCTGTCACCATTGATTTTCTAGTTAATCCTCCTAATTTGATAAGCATTTACTATACTAGAATATTAGCTTTCTGAATAAGCATCTATTTGAAAACTGACAAGCAAATTATAATACTTAAACATATTTCCAAGTTATATCTCAAATTCCTTTAAGATATGTTAACTGGGAACAACTAATACAGAAGCTATGCAGACAGATACAAAGTGGCAGTTTCATCTTTTTAATTCTTATTGAGATAAATGAATACATTTGGTATTTACATGATTTCATTAAATTATACAAGAATACGAGGTCTCTTAATTTTTCTTTTCCTAGTTAGCTGCCTGACCTTGACAAAGTTACTACATCTCTGTGAAGTCTGATTTATCAGTAACACTGAAATGCCTTTTTTTATCTTACTCTATTGAATTATACAATCATATTATTTCTCTCAAATCAGCACAAAGCTTATAAATTCTAGTACATCTGAATATTCCTATTAAAGAAATACAATCTTGACGGACATAACTTATAAAATGGTGGTATCGAGCAAAATAAGTGTTCTACACATCAATGACCAAAGCGAAATTATCTTATAAACAGCACAATGACTAGGACTTTAAATAATCTGTACTTAAGTACTTAAGATAAATTGTTAAGTAAAACATTACTTTTTCCTTTTGTGTGATAACTTTAAAAATTTTGATAACTTTTAATATAAAAATGAAAGTACTGTCCTCTAGAATAGTACTGTCCAGTAGAAATTTCTGTGATTATGGAAATGTTCTATGCTGGCTAAAAATAGAGGCCACTAACCACGTGAGGCTACTCAACTACTGAAATGTGGCTGGTGTAACTGATGAACCGAACTTTGGTTTTAAAATTGTCAGTTATTTAAGTTTTGTCACGTGGCCACTATGTTGGGCAGTACAGCTCCAGAATTAAACATTGATCTTTGTTTCGTTTTTTGAAAAAGAAGCATCATTACCTAAGTGGGAGCTTCTTAAACTTCATTAAGAAAAAAAAAAAAAAAAGAAAAAATTCAATATCCCTGTTACTTGGCTGCAATATACACTGCATCGAAAATAAAGCATTTCCTCAAAAAACAATCACTAGTCAAGTTATTGTTAAACGATATGCATTAAGAAATAAGTGGAGAAATACATGCAAACTAGTAAATATTCTAAAATGTAAGTAAAGCAAAATGTATCCTTTCTTCTTAATAACAATTAAAATAATTGTTTAATTAAATAAGTAGATATTCCTTTAAGATTATCTTTAATTTAAATGAAAATTAATCCAAAATTTGTTTAAAGTCACAGTACTCAAAAATTTTCTACAGCTACACTTTTTATAGTACCTGAAAGTTCACAAAGACAGACAGAAAACACTCCGACTTGCTATCAAGATGAGACTCAGCCTCAAGTGTAGTATTTGAGAGCTGACAAACACAGACACTAATGCCGACCTTATGGATTTTTTAATGGAAAATGTATTTTATGTGGGGTAAATGGGAAGTCTCTACACTAACTTTGCAATTTTTCTGTAAATTTAAAACTGATCTAAAATAAAACATTTATTAAAAATACAGTGTGTGAATACAATCTTTTCCATGGATGAGGTCATATCTGAATAGAATTAAGTGCAAAAATTATGTTCTTTTCATATTTGTCTACTTTGCCTTACCTTTCTCTTTGAAAATTTTCTAGTCCAATTATGAGATACATAGTTGTTTCCCTGAATTTCCTATAATCCTGATGCCACTCCTGTAAGTGAAAGAAAAATTAAAACTGTTCAAAATAAGATTTAAAAACTACTATGAAACTGTTCAAAAATAATACACTATTCTGCTACTATTTGAATTAATAGAAACAAAGAGTTCAAAATGAAGATACATCAGAACTAAAATAAGACTTTACTTTCTGGCACACAAGACTGTTTATTAATATAACATTAAATCTAAAAATTATTAGGCATTGATATGAAATTAAAGATTTTAACTAGCAGATAACAGAAATATAAAGGCAGGATAATCCATCCGGTCATCTCAAAAATTCATCGGTATAAAATCGTATTATTGAAATATTATTGTATCTACATCAACTCATGGAAGAATATGAAATTATTACACTGAGTATGAACCAAAGCTTGAACACTTATACTTGATACATAATTTTAAGAAACTAAAAAAAAGTTATGATAGATTTATTTAACCTTTTAACTTTGCAAATGTGTGGTAAATTTAAGTGTGTAGGTGAACAGTTTATTTACATGAGATATGGTAAAAGAACAGCTGCAGTTCATATTTCAGTGCCCCTCCCCACCCCCCAAACAACTACAGGGCATGTAATAGGACTAAATAATTCTAAGGTGATACCCTGTAACTCTTAAAAAGAATGAAGTCAAGATTTTCTTAACTTACTTTATAATAATTGACTCAAGAAAAATAACTGAAATTCAGTATAAGACAAATTGGAAAGAGAATACTGATAACAAAAGTGTTAAGGCTTTTATGTAAACATTATAAACAAAAATAAGAAACACAGACACGTTATTAGCCAACCATATTCTCCTTGAATATAAATTTTTTTTTTTTTTCTTTTTTGAGACAGGCTCTCACTCTGTCGCCCGGTCTGCAGTGCAGTGGCATGATCACAGCTCACTGCAGACTCAACCTTCTGGGTTCCAGCAATCCTCCTACCTCTGTCTCCCAAGTAGCTTGGATTACAGGTGCACGCTTCCAGTTCTAGTTAATTTTTAAATCTGTTTTGTATAGACAGGGTCTTGCTGTGTTGGCCAGACCAGTCTCAAATTCCTGGTCTCAAGCAACTCCCTGTGCCTTGATCTCCCAAAGTGCTGGGATTATAAGCATGAGCCATCACACCCAGCCTTAATTTTAATTTTCAAGACATAATTTTCATGCTATTAGATATTAATAACAAATAAAGGTAAAATCTGTCCTGCAAGAATAAAGTTAGCTCTTCTGGGGAAGGTATTCAAACTGTCATTCCTTGTTGTCATCAGAATTGCCTTGGAAGTTGTGAGTACGCAAACTTTTTCTGTAAAAGGTCAGACAGTAAATGTTTTAGACTTTGCAAGCCTCATCTTCGGTTACTCAACTCTGTAACTGCAGTGTGAAAGTATCTACAGAAAATATGTATACAAATGACCATGTTCCAATAAAAGTTTACAAAAACAGGTGGTAAGCTGGTCTGCAGGCTATGGTTTGCTGAACCCTGAACTTAGAGCAAGACCAAAAATATAAGGAATATGCAGACTCTAAAAACAAGTCATTTAAATACTTGTATGATTTAATGGCCCTGCAGTTAGAATATGAGAAGGTTTGTGAATAAAAATATGATGAGTCTAATCCGTTGAAGCAAACTAAAGAAAGTGGTGCAGAATCAAGTCACAATTAAAAATCAAGTCCCATGAACACCAATCTTGGGGACAAGGGTAGAGCTCTCAATCAATTGGAAGGGTACAGACTTGGAGTCATTATTAGCTAAAAGATGACTTGACTTGCTCCTCAGGGTCAAGATAAAACAGATTTTGAATTTCTCTGGCTCTAGATTACATATCCTGGTCAAAAATATCTGGTCAATGAGTGCCTTTTATGGATAAATGAGTGTCTTTAGGCTTCTACCTATGTTGACTTCTAAACAGCTTTGCACAGGAGCCTTTCACAACTGAAATGAATTTTTGCATATGGAATGAACAAGAAATCAAATTTTATTTTCCAGAACTATTTATTAAAAAGTCTTTCTACTGTTCACTAATTTGCTTGTCAGAGATACGAGGTGGACTGGGATCTTTGCATTTCCATAACATTTTTCAGTCGGCTTATCAAGCTCCATAAAACATCTTGCTAGAATTTTGATATGGCCTACACTGAATTTATAAAGCATTTGGGGGAAAAGTGGTATCTATATATTAATAATATCAAGTTTTCCAAGCACCATATGTATGCCCATTTATTTAGATCTTTGTTAATGTCTCCCGATAAGTATTATAATTTTCCCCACAGAAGTCACCTGCACCTTTTGTTAAATTTATTTCTATATACTTCATAGTTTCAGATACTATTGTAAATGGTCTCACTTTTATACTTTCTAATTTTTTTTTCTTTTTTTTTTTTCTGGTATAAGGGAATAAAACTGGTATCTGACACAAGTTTGCATGTTGCAAAGCTCTCTTACTAGTTCTAATAAATCAGTTGTAGATTTTATTTGAATTTCAAGATAAAAAAACTACAAATAATGATGTCTTTGTTTCTCTTTTCCAATATTTTACTTTTCACTTATTTTTGTTGCCTTGTTTTTGATAAGAAAAATTTTAAGCTTTCAATGCTCACAATTCTATATATTTGCTGCAGTTTTATTATTTCTTATTTTTGTTTTTAGAGACACTCTTTAGTGAATTAGGTAGTTACTTTATATGCCAAACTAGCTAAGGTTTTCATCAATAATGAGTGTTTGCTCTATCTTTCCTCTTCTCTCTTTATGTAGTGAATTACACTAATTGTTTAGGGAATCTAAAGTGCCATAATTAAGTTTGTAAATGGAACCAAATATTAAGCAAACGCACCCAAGAAAACAACTTAAAATTTACTAGACTTGTAAATTTAAAAAAGGCAATGTATAAGGTTAAATTTAAAAACTTGAAGAAATACTAGGTGTATTAATTCATCAATTAAAATAAAGAATATTTTAAAGCCAAAGTTGACAAAAAGAATTTTGTGCACAAAAAAATCCCACAAGCACAAGTACCTATGTAAGTGCTCTCTCACACACAACACTGTCTCATAATGACAAATATACATGGCATATAGTGACTAAAATGAATCTCTAACTTCCTCAAAATATATCTGATGAATCAAAGTGAGGAAAAAATACAGCCCACAGGGTACAGCTGCACAGTGTAGTGCAACAGTTAAAGTAGGCTCCATTAGCCAAGCTGTGAACTTGTGGCTGTGAAAACCTTAGGCAGGTTACTTCACTGTTCTATGCCTTATTTTCTCGTGTGTCAAATGGGAATAAGAACACTACCTACCTCACAGTGTCACTGTCTGAATTAAATCAGTTAATACATGTAAAGGGCTCAGACAAATGCCTGGCATAGTGAGCCTAGATCGCACCACTGCACTCCAGCCTGGGCGACAGAGCAAGACTCCGTCTCAAAAAAAAAAAAAAAAAAAAAAAAAAAAAAAAAAAAAAAAAAAAAGAAAAGAAAAGAAAGAAAGAAAACTGCCTGGCAAATAGTAGGCTCTTGATAAATATTACTTGTTAATATTATGTAACATCAATTTCTAAGTTGATTTCAAAATTAACAATGTATTTTTACTTCGTTTTTAAGGTAGAAAAGTTCATTTAAAAAGTAATTGAGAACTAGCATTGAAATAGAAAACCAAAAATCTTCCTTTTTTGATTTTAAACTTTTTGGTCTACATGCTATCACATCATGTTAATCCTAAAATCATTTATAAAATTATTAATTACTTGAGCATTGACCTGGAAACTTAATTTTTTACTCATCATTCATAACAAATTCTACTTCCGTTGGGCTGAAATGAAAGGAATATCAGTGAATTACAGAATCCCTAAATCTGTAGTTTTACCTCTAAAAAAGCACATTACCTCATATTCTTCCAAGTTTACTTCTTCAGGTTTTATCATTTCCAGTTTGGCTTGAGCAACTTTCATTATGTTGTGACACCTTAAAAAAAAAAAACATATATATGTGTGTGTGTGTATATATATTTGTAAATCAAAAGCAAAAGCCATAAACACTGAGCAAAAATAGCAATACTTTTTTATAGAAACAACTTCTAAATAACCTTAAGGGAAAAATATTTTTGCGACCAATGTTGGAGAATTACAAAGAAGATAGGAGCAATAACTCTAATTCAAATTTACTGTGTTGTATTGATATAAGACTTTTAAATTACATTCTAACTAACACAGTTTGCATAGGAAAAAAATGAAACTTTTAAAAAATAATGTGCATCTATTAACCAAGCTCAAGAGACACTGCATCTTCTCCCCCCGCCCCACGGTATTATTTACTCTTAAATGCTAAAAAGAAAGAGTCTAAAATGTGCCTATTATCTCAGGTAAAAATGGAAACATTCCAGTGGATTTTATGATCAGAATCAGTGACAAAGAAATCCTTACAAAATATATTTATTCACATGTGTATAACTCTTTCAAGCACAAGTAAGGTTATCAAAACAGATTAACTAGTTATAGTCAGATAATTGCAAAAGATTGAAAAGTCAATGTGATTACTGCATTAATATCTTCTCCAAATTAAACAGCATAGATCCAATGGAACTCAGTACACTGATAGCACCGATAACGAGGGTCACAACAACCCTATTTCTGACTCTCTGCAGTCATATGTATCAAAATAAATCATGTCCATACTGCTACTAATACAAATAGTAGTGGCCAACATTCACTGAGCATTCAACCATCTATCAGATATTGTTCACAACTATTTATTTGTATTAGCACAGAATCTTACATTTCACAGCACATACCTAGCAAGATAGGATTGATCCAGATGCTTTGCTTCCCCTCATATTCTTCACTACACACTTTTAACTCAGTATTTTTGAGACATTCATAAAAGGATAATCATTTCAGAATTAAAATTACAATGAACTGCAAGACAGCACCAATGTTTTTATATACGAAAATAACTTTCAATACTCTAATATTTCACATGGGCCCTAAAATTGTTTCCTAGTGTCATTCATTCTAATTAAATTGTGATTTTTAACATTAGTAGTTTTATAGGACTTTCTGAATAATTCTTTATAAAACTGATAATCCAGAGAAAACATTCTCTGGAAATATTCTATAGAATATTTTCTATATTCTACAGAAATTTCTATAGAATATTTTCTTTCCAGAGAAAATGTTTCTGCGTGAATCTAATTTAACCTTTCTAAGCCACCTCTTTACGTCAAAGAATGTTTATATTTTATCTGTAAGACTAAAACCTTTTCTCCAATGATTCTCTAATAAGGGTGATTTTGCTCCCCTAGGAGTTATTTGGCAATACCTGGAGATATTTTGGTATGCCACAACTTGGGAGCTGCTACTGTCATCTAACAAAGAGATAAGGGATATTATCAAATATCCTACAATCATAGGACAGCCCCAACAACAAAGATTTATCTAATTTAAACTACGTATATAGTACAGAGGTTGAGAAGCCCATTTTTGTTTCTAAAATATTGAGTGTAGTAAGTGCAGTGATTACTTGATTCACAATTAAAATTTATTACAATGATCTAAGTTATTCTCAGTTCAAACTTCAAAAGGCCACAGACTCCAGCAACTGTTCACATTGAGTTCAAATTGTTATGTATTTATTAAAATATGTGCCCATGCATATATAAAATAAATACTCAAGAAATTATCCTGGGAATCTGCATGAAAACAAAAAAGAACAATCTTAGCATAAGAATTTTATATTTTTAAATTACCTTTCATCAAAACTCAAATTTCTGTCTCCAAATTGTTCTAGCAATGTTTTCTCAATGATTTTCTTTGGTGTCTGGTTCTGGATAAAGTAGACCACGACATGATGCAAACGATAGTCGGTTTCTGGTGGGGTGTCTTCTTGGGCCAACTTAACCAACCTTGCATATTCCAACTTAATTGCCTGGAAAATGCAATGAAAATGACAATTTTGGTTAATTATTTAAACACCTAAAAATCCTTCAATATTACAAGTTTAATTCTTCTTGCATTTACATATTTTCTTTTTTTGGGGGGGGCGCTTTTAAAGTATTACAAACAAGACGGTACATCTAAGAACACAGTCCCATGTTCCACAGTCTCAAAGCATTTCCTGAATAACTGACCACAGAGCTCCTTCTATTTTTTTTTTTTTTTTTCCAATGAAGTCTCGTACTATCCCCTGGGATGGAATGCAGTGGCGCGATCCTGGCTCACTGTAGCCTTCACCTCCCAGGTTCAAGTTATTCTCCTGCCTCAGCCTCCCAAGTAGCTGGGATTACAGGCACCTGCCACCACGCCCAGCTAAATTTTTTGTATTTTTAGTAGAGATGGGGTTTCACTATGTTGGCCAGGCTGGTCTCAAACTCTTGACTTCATCATCTGCCCGCCTCAGCCTCCCAAAGTGCTGGGATTACAGGTGTGAGTCGCTGTGCCTGGCCACAAAGGCCCTTCTTTATCCCTTCACTATATAAATGTTCTTTTTGTTTCCACACATGAAAGCGGTAAAATAATATGTCTAAACTTACAATGTGAGTAATTTTGTAAAATTTATCAGAGCCTAGTCAAAGTCTATTCACAGACATCATAAGATGGAGATGGCAAGTTTTCCCATTCTGTTTTACCTTTCTAAGCATCAGTTTGAATAAGAAAATTCTAGAGTTGATATATAGCTTCCAACAATACTCAAATCTGAAAGAAAATTGTTCTTAAATGCATAGTCGTATTATTGAAATTAACTTTTAGCTGAATAGTCCACAAATAAGGAATGCAACATCAAGCCCTGGGGTTATAACTATCACAAAAAGAAGTACTTATTGCTTCAACAGTATATAAATTTTATTAATGTAAAAATAATAACGGTTATATATTATCACTATTATTACCTTGAGATTTAAACTTAGTTTTTCTTTAACAAGAATATCTCATACAAATAATAAGGGGAAATAACAAAGACTAATGCATGTTTTAATACACGAGCAAAATCCAGAAAATATCTGACCATATAGAAATATATATAGACTTACACATCAAATATTGCTATGTACAAGAGGACCATATGATTAAGATAAAGCTTTCCATATTCATTTATATTATACTTACATGTAAATTCTAGCTCTAATAAGCATAAACATTTTGAGCTTCAGGCAAGATTACAAAAAATCCATTCAATTAAAAAGTCTTTTTAGTTTAAAAAGTGCATGCCTTTCTTAAGTAATTCTTTGACATCTAGATGTTATGACCTATATGACTGTATTTTACAGATGGGAGAAAAAATAACTGATAAACATTAAATGAAATATTCTAGTTACATAATATCATACTTCATTAAAAGGAAGGCTAATATGTTCTTTCTATGCAGCCTAAGATTATAAATAGAATAAGGAAACAAATTATTCTAAAATACTTTTCCCTTGAAAAAAACTGACTTTTTTTGGGGGGATATACATGTCATTCCAAAGTCTGATGTGAATAAATAACAGCCATAAATATCAACTGTATTTTAATATATAAGATTATCAACGCTCACTGTGTGCCTAGTTAGCACACATAAGCTTCGCTTAGAACTCATTAAAAATCTTCCTGTTATCCAAATTTGGAAAAAAAAAAGGGGAGGGGGGCACATACATAATAATCAAAGTATACTGAATTTGAGAATAAATCTAAAACATTAACAGTTCAATTACTGTTCTTGTTGATACGAACTTTAGACAATGATTGTCACAGGCTACAGGTCGCCAATCTGAAGTGCCTGGGACCAGAAGTGATTCCAATTTTAGATTTTTTTCAGATTTTGGAATGTTTGCATTATGCTGGTTGAGTATTCCAAATCCGAAAATCCAAAATCAACGATACTCCAATGAACATTTCCTTTGAGTATCATGTTGGCACTCAAAATGTTTTGGATTTTGCAATATTTCAGATTTTGAATTCTGGATTTGGGATGCTCAACCTGTAACAGACTTTTAGAATATTCAAATATTTCATTCATCATACTTTAGTCCAAAATAGCATGACCAAAATAAAACAAATTTGTAGCGAGTCTCTTAAAACAATATTGTAGGTTTACATACGTGGAATGATCCCACTAAATGGTCATCAATCCCCTACCTGCTTTCAAAATAGAAGCTGTCTTAATAAATAGCAGATTTCTATTACAGAACTGAAATATATAATAACCTCTTATACTCTAAGATTATATGTTCACTTGTTGATTTTGCTCAATTTAAGATTCTCCTAATTTTCACAAGCAAATTGCCAAAGTCACAGTATTTTCAATATATAGGTGTTTAAACCAGCAGAGGTAGAAAGACGCTTCTAAATTTCTAGGAGCTATTTTTCAATCACACAAGAAAACATTTTTACCAGCATAAATGCATTTCTTAACTATTTTTATACACTTCCTTTTTAAGAAATTAACTTCTAAATTTCTAGAAGCTGTTTTTCAAACACACACAAAAAATTTTTACTAGCATACATGCATTTCTTAATTATTTTTTATACACTTCCTTAAGAAATTTTATGGCTTTTAAAATATACTAGAATCATATTTATCCAAATTCCCAACAGATGTTCCATGCTGGTATATTTAGCAGAGTTCTACACAATCTGCCATTATGAGTAAAGTTAACATTATATTTGTCTCATATTACCTCCTCAGAATCCTGTTGGCAGTCTATGCTAATTATTTTAAGTTAATTATCACAGACACTGCAATGAATTCACCATGCATTTGCTAAATGAAATGTGACACTAGTCATTAGATGACAGAACTGCTTTGTATTTCATTTTTTTAACTATTTTCACTACACCTTTAATCAGGCTCAATGCCATTTATTCAGTCTTATTTCCTATCACCCTGCAACAAGGATCTCCCTTCTATCTCGGTTAGGCTTGTCTCCTCACAAACGCACACATGCCTTTGTTTCTTCTCCATTATGTGTGATATCCTTTCTTGTTCATTCCCCATCTACCTACAGATGACCTATTCAGTAAAATTAGTTTAAGCCATGCTTTTCAGACCTTGTTCAGTTCTAAAGATGCAAATAAATTCTACCTAGACTTTTCTCTACTTTTCAAAATAATATTATAAAACCATATTCTAAATTTATAACTTATTGACTTAATTTTTATATAAACTCTCTCTCTCTCTCTCTCTCTCTATATATATATATATGAGGATACCAAATATATAAATATTTATATTCTGGAGGCAGTTAAATCTAATAGGAAACTGAGGAAATTAAAATTCAAAAAGCTAGATACGTCATTTATAATTAACTGTGACATAGAATAAGGCACATAATCTTCTAAGTCTGATTGCTCTTATCTCTAAAACAAAGTTGGTTAAGAGAGTTTATGTGCATTTTAAAATGCTTATGGGTTATTTTTAAAAAATTGACAGTGCTAAGAAATGAAGAAAACTTACTTCAAATTCCAGAGGACTGAAATACTGTGGGCCATATTCTTTGACCACACTGTAATACAAACAGGAATTATAAATAGAGCTATCTTCCAAGCTAAACACTTAGAAAATTTAAAATATGGCTTAAATTATTCTTGAGCCAAAGAAATAAAAAACTGTACTAATATGGGAATATCAGATATCAAAATCTATTGGGCTGTTAGTCAAAAAAATTGCCAGGCCAAGCATGGTGATTCACACCTGTAATCCCAGCACTTTGGGAGGCCAAGGTGGGCAGATCATCTGAGGTCAGGAGTTCGAGACCAGCCTGGCCAACATAGTGAAACCCTGTCTCTACTAAAAAATAGAAAAAATTAGGTGGTAGTGGGCACCTGTAATCCCAGCTACTTGGGAAGCTGAGGCAGGAGAACTGCTTGAACCCGGGAGGCAGAGGTTGTAGTGAGCCGAGATCATGCCATTGCACTCCAGCCTGGGCAATAGTGCGAGACTCCGTCTCAAACAAACAAAATTAGCTGGGCATGGTGGAAGGCGCCTGCAATCCCAGCTGCTTGGGAGGCTGAGGCAGAAGAATCACTTGAACCTGGGAGGCAGAGGTTGCAGGGAGCCGATACTACGCCACTGCAGTCTAGCCTAGGCGACAGAGTGAGATTCTCTCTCTCTCTCTCTAAATATATATATCTCCAGTTTGAATATAGTTGGATGGAAGACCAAAAAGGGGAAGAAAACTCACTGGTAGAAATAAGAAAGGTGATAATACAGAAAAAAAATGTTTCAAAATTTCTTCAAGGATAACACATATAACTTTGTCAATAAACTACAGTATCCTGATAGATAATAATCTAGAAAAATATAAACTACCAGAACTGCTTTCAGAGGCAGAAAAACTGAAGAGACTCGGTAAAACTTAAAAGTTTGCCTGAGAAATCTCGTAACACGAAAGAAATCAAGCCCACATTGTTTTAGAGTTGGGCTGTTAGGTCAAATCTTCAAGGACCAGATAACTTCTGTGATACCTAAATTGCTACAGGGCCTGAAAAATAAGAGAAAGCCTCCTTAATGGTTATACAAGGCTGGTATAATTTGTATCCCCAAAATTGACAAATACAAAGAAAGAAACTATAGATCAATTTTGTCTATGTACCCAGATGCCAACACCCATACTCACTTTAGGTAAACAAACAGTGTGGTATACAAAAAATATATATAACAAAAAATGTTTACAATAATTTTTTTAAAGGTAGATCAAAGTTAAGACCTTAAGTATTAAGAATTAAGGAGAAATCTGTTCAGCATCTCAATAGATGTATTATAAAATTTCTAAATTTCAATACCAATCAGGTTAGTGGGAAACCTGTATCTAGTAATTTGAGAGCATTTTAAAATTCATAAAGTGGAACCAAAACTACACATTGTACATAATAAAACACTGGAGACACACTCATTAAAATCAGAAACTAGACAAAGGTGCCTACTACCATTATTTCAGTATTGAGAATATG